GTGTGTATGCTCATTCCATGCTTTCAAAAGGGCTGCCCTCATTTAAAGTGTCAGGCAGGTGAGGACCAGGTTGGGCTAAAGTGGTTTCCAAATGGCTCATCAGTGGAGTACTTTCCTATCCCGATCCCAGATCCTAATCGCCCTTGGGGTGCAGATTGTAGTACGTGTAAGGGGACGAGTGCGGGGCATTTTTTGCGACCTGATGACCATCGGGTACATTACAGAAACTATGGTAGAGAGGGGATGATGGCCAAGCCTGCTTCAAAAGTTCTTGGAGACGCGCACAAGAAACTTCTTGTAGCAAAGAAAACGTTGTTGCCAACGGATCATGTGCAAATGTGGCTGGAACACCTTGGTAAGGTGCACAAGAATCGGGTGGAGGGAGCAGAACGAGCAGCAGCAAAAAAGCAGTCAATGCCAAGAAAGAAAGATATTGATATTTTTGAATGTTCGTATTTTGTACCTTTTTTTAGCCATAAATAAGACAACTTGTTGATTTCCTCACAATTTTACCCTCTGTCTTATAGCAACCCAAGCAGATGCCTATTGCCTCTGTGGTGAAGGTGAACATGGGCGAATGATAGACTGTGATGGAGATAATTGCCCACTTATATTGTACCATGCGAACTGTGTTGGTGTCTCGGAAGAAACTATTCTCGATGGTTCTTGGTTTGGCGAACAGTGCAAACATTAGGTGTTGTAATGCATTATCAGTTGCATTGAATATAAAATAAAATGTGACTGCCCTAGGCTTTAAAAAATATATTAAAACAGCAGCAAACTTACATTAATTGTGAACTCAACTGAGTTGTGAAATTTTCATTTTGTAAGGGAATTTAACAACTCACACTAGGAAACCTTGTCAGTTGCCCCAGGGGGTGGGGCAATTCCTGCCATTTTCCATAAAAATTTTCTCCACATGGTGGGGCATTTGTCAGGGTTTGTTCGCTACTCAGAACCAATCCCTACCTATATCCCGGGGGGGGGGGGGATGGTCGGGGTTTTCTTTGTCTGGTGCATAACGCCGCGATAGCGATGAATCGATAATAATCGCCATAGTGAAGCGAACTATCGATAGTTTCGATGGTTTCTATACTTCTAACATTTTAACCTGTTTGGAAAATAAAGATACCCTTTTTTACCCGTCTTTGATTCTCAATGTCACAGTAACGGTCGAAATAAACTAAAGAGAGAAACAATCTATGGTCCTACTGCACCTACATCTGAATTGTTTTAGCGTCGTGATTCTCGAACCGTTTTGGGTCAAATGCTAGAGAGGGCTTATATTAATTGCTGAGGTTCGATCGTTCAATGAAACATAGTGGTACTCGAGGAAGTGCGTGTGGTTTCAGTCTTTGTAACGTAGTTTAGAGCGTTGATAGAGGTTTCATAATATCTCGCGATGACGAGATGTCGAGTTTTATTTGGAATGCAGGGAGTTAAACGCAACGTAGTGATTTTTTTTTAACAAGCTTGATAAATACAATAGGGCCATTTATACGAGGAGAAATAAGACGCGTCTTAAATAAGACGCGAACTTTCCGTATAAACGGCACATTTCGTCTAAAATAAGACGCGGCTTAGCTAAGACGCGACTTATTAGATAAGACATGCTCGTATAAATGGTACAGTTCGCGTGTTATTTAAGACGCGTCTTATTTTTCCTCGTATAAATGGCCCTAATATGACGGGTAAAAATCCTTATAATTTGTGACAAGGTAACATAACAGAGAAAATATCAAAAAGAGACTAAGTGACAACTACTATTGGTGTGGAAAAAGGAACTCAACATGATTATAAGACAATATTTAAGTATTTCTTGATCTAATTCTGAAAACAAGGTTTTATTGTGTGGTTCTAGATAAAAAAATTTAACTGCGAAAGATGATTAACAGCTCCGCTATACCTTTTTTACAGTCAAATACTTTGCTTAATTCCTAAGGCCCAGCAAATCAACAGACGTTACAAGACGTCATCAGCCCTCGTTCAGACACAATTTTAAAGTTCAGAATTGTTAATGAAACTTATCTAAGGACCAAACTCAAAAAATGTGAAAAATTTCTAATCATGTTCATGTTGCAGGTTTTTAAAGGCTGCAACCAAGACGCACCTTTGGATGTAGTACTAAATCATTTACCAATCTCTACTTGGGGTACCAGAGGAGTTCGCCTTTATGTGCACAAGTGGTATCGCAGGAGTTGCCTCAGGGTTGAGATTTACGGATATGACCCATTCCGAGGTAAATTTTGTGGGGTTATGTTTTATTAAAGTTTCAAAGAAAAACTGAAAAGAAGATCCCTTGTTCATTTTGTATCCAAGTAAGATTGACAGTAAGTAGATGCATATAAAGGCCCTTTTAACTGCTGTAAATGGACTGTCTTTAAAATTGGAATAATATAGGTGGTTTTCACGTTACGTCATCGCCGCCATGCTGGTGGACGGTAAACAAAAGATCGCTCATTAGCTCGCTTTGTTTGTCCACCAGCATTTGTTCATTTCACCATTGTTATGTGTCTCCCGAGATTGCATGAAAACCACCTATAGATTTAGCCAGGGCTAAAAGCGAAGCTCTGGTTAATAATACTTATAAAATAAATCGTTTAATGCTAAGTGGGGACGGCAATGAAAATGGGCATCAAGATAGATCAATAGATCTAATTAGCAAAAAAACAAATATGCACGTACAGCACACTTTTTTTTGTCATTAGCAAAAAATAAACAAATTTGCACGTGCAGCACGCTTCTTTGTCTTTCTTTGCCGTTGTTTTGCACGACTACAATGCCGTTTTGTGCGACTAAAACGTCAAACCTTCTAGTCACACATTATTTTTATGGAGGAGTTGTCGTATGTGCATACCAAAGATTTTGTTTCCCGTGATCATGTTCGCTTTTATTTTTTCCCTGCCGCTTATTTTCACCTTGCTGGCCGCTAGCATTTCTCATTTTCTCACGGCACCGCCGCCATGAACTTTTCATGTTTTTCTCCCAACGAAATTCGTCTCCTTTGTTTTGAATCACTTACTCTAACTCTTTCTCTGTCTTTCTCTCTTTCTCCACGTGAGTGTAAACATCAAAAATAACGTCGAAAAAGACACTACTTTGTAGTTGTTCTTTCTCTCTAAAATTCCGGGCGGCCATACTATTTCCCGCCAAAAACACCTCGCGTTGTCTGTGGTGTCGTACCTGTTAACTGGGTTTTCTTTACATTGGTATGCCTGTGGTGCGGACGGACGGTCGGGCGTACGGTCACCTGATTACCAAATTTTCTTACCCATGGTGCTCCGCTATCACAAAACCAGTACTTTTTCTCAACTTTTTTATAGCCATAAAATGTATCTGTTACCCCTAGGGACTTTTTACCGACGGAAATGACAGATTTCCCTACCCTCACCATCGTACCCAGCGTCTTCGTTCCCCTTGACCAGCGGTCGGGAAATTAAGGGCCCTACCCTTTCAACGAGTGAAATCCCTACCCCCTTTCAAATATCCGAGGCATGAAAAAGGTAACTCTTTCGGGCGGAGCCTCCCCTTATAGGCCATTATTTGGAGTACCAACCACATACCTTTAACTTATTATTGTCATGGTTAACATGTTCGTAGTATGCACAGACAGGTGATAAACATTTTTCATTACTAAAAATTAGCAGGCAATATTTTGAACCATGAAGACCAGCATTTGTGTAGCGGTGAAGGGTTAGTGATAGGATCAAGTGCCTCGCCTCACATTAGAACATGTTGGTGCAGAAGAGGTTATGAAGGAGACGCCTTTATCTGTGAAGGTATTGTCATGGTTATATTTCCGGAAAAACTTTCCGTGTAGTTCAAAAGGGGTATAAAACCCCCAAGTGAAAAGTCCGGGGAAGTAGGTGTTGTTGTTGTTGTTTTTTTTACAGCCCGTCCCGCTCAAGAAATGGGGATAGAGTTGTATTATTAAGAGTCCAAATTCCAATTTCAAATGAGAAGATTGCAAATCTTTCAAACCAAAGCAACAGTTCATACGTGAAATGCGAAACCGTTGGCAGCTGTAAGCTTTAGTCGTATGTGCTAAGGTTTTTTTTTTCTTAATTAAATTTTCAGGAATGTTTCTCGTTCAGAAACAGCTCACTATTCTTTGGAGTTTTATAACTGCAGAGCTTGTTCTTAATGGGAATTTTTTTCCAAAATCGTTCACGGGAGCATTTTCCTCCAATAGCTGCCCCAGTGTTGGCGAAGTTTGAGCGAAATCTATGAGGGCGTTATGGAGATATTTTACGATGGAGTTTTCAGTGTAATACTGGATAATCTTGATGTTCGGCCATTATGCTTAGTAAACGAAACGCTTTTAAAATGCAATTTTAACTCATACCAGTTGCATTCACTTTTAAAGCGCGTTTGAAAGGATCACGGGGATAGCTTTAGCCGATCGATCCGCATTGGTGGTGCTTATTTAAAAATAAATTGCACGTGCCGTATACGCAAATTTACGTATTAAAGGTGATACATTGCACTTGCAAAGAACAAAAGATATTACAAATGTGGGGTTTACGAAGTTTATGTAGCACCACCCAAACGGGAATGTAGGGCTCGTTTACATGGAGGTGGGGGACCCCAGGTAGGTGAGGTAACCCGCTTTGGTGGGTAACCCGCCTGTCCACAAAATCCCTCATTTTAACTTGATCACGTTTACATGATAGGTGGGGTGACCCGCCGCATGTTACCTCACCTATCTGGGATCCCCCACCTCCATGTAAACAGGCCCTTAAAGAATATATGGTGTTTTCCGCTTTGGACAATAGCCCACTTTACAATTACAGGTGGAAACGAGACTGAAGTTGACTGCTTTTATTGTATAAATCACGTTGTTCATAAATTATGCTAAGTATTTTGAGGAGCATAATTTCCAAAAGAAAAGGAAGACTTGTTTGTATCAAAACGAGGTCAACCTCCCTCACTACTTTCACTCAAAGGCTAGAATAATAAGCCCACAACTGTAACATGGTCTCTTGTCCAACAATTTTACAGATGTGGATGAATGTAGCGTTGGTGACAATGTGTGTGGATCGCCGGACCGTCTGTGCAGAAATATCCCAGGATCATTCGTCTGTGAGTGTCAACAAGGCACGACTCGAGATGGAAACCAATGTAAAGGTACTAATTGAACTAATGATAACATATATGCACCATTTTAAAGAATGTAAGTGAAATTTAAGAAGCGGTAAATGGTTTTACAAATTACCGCATGGGCCTTTTGAGACTTCTCATCTGATCTTGAAATCTTGGAGGCATTTTTGAGAGTTATATTACGTATTATTACAAAGGAAAAACTTAGACAGCAAAGAAAAGAAAGTGTGGAGAATTGACCTCTTACCATCAAGATCAACTCGATCACTGTGTAAGAGAACCAGTTTCGGAAATACAGTCAACTCTTTCTAAGTCGGACACCTTTGGGGCCGGTACTAAGTGTCCGTCTTATAGAGAGTCAAATAAAGGGAGTAAAGAAAGGCAGGGATCAACTCTAGGTGTCCGTTTTACAGAGGTGTCCGTCTTATAGAGGTGTCCGTTAAGAGTGAGTCGACTGTAATAGAAACTGAATCTCTCCAGTACAGCCGTCATTGATGCGTAATGTGTGCGTCATTTTCAGATATTGATGAATGTGCCAACCCAAGAGATGTATGCCCATACTTGACAGAGTGCATTAACACAGTGGGATCATATATCTGTGACTGTAAAGAGGCAGGCTTTAAAGCAGATGGAAAACAATGTTTAGGTACACTTTGCGTTAAATATCAAAGCAACAGAATATTGCATGTTGTGATAGGGCCAGACGGTAAATTGCAAATTACCTCACTATCTGTTGCCCTGGTAAACGTCCTCCAACTCGTAGAAGACCTCAGACTACTTTTGGTGCAGTTTCTCCCTAATTTGAATGACAACCACAACAACGGGTAATATGTGCCCTTCTCTTTCAGAACAGTGTTTGGGTTTCTTTAAAAGTCCCACACATTTCGTTTATACGAGCAAGGGTTGTGAGAAGGGGCTTATTGTTTATCGTCCTTATCCGAGAAGACAAGAAAGTCTGTAAATAATTGGCATATTTCACTCCAAGGGTAGCACTTTCTCCACAGTTTTTAAAGCCACTGAGTGTTGGTATGGCCAAGGTTGAGCCCGCTACACCCCTCTCGGCAGACCAGCACTTACCCAACTGAGCGAACCAGGCAGTAGTTGTGTTTGTCAGTCAGTAAAGTTATTTTCTTTTCTTTTCTCACCGTTTAGACATTGATGAGTGCAAGATCGGGAGCCATAATTGTGAGGAGAACTCCACCTGTGTAAATGCTTTTGGTTCATATGCTTGTTTCTGTAATGTGGGATTCACAGAATCGTATTCACTGGATGGGAAACTACAATGTGTAGGTGTGTCACTTATGCCTTTTGGTATGTTGCAGCCAGTGCTGTCCCTTATAGGGAGACATTTCATGCAGGTGCTAACAAATGCATCTTGGCCTAATAAATGTGAATGTTTTGTTTAGAGTATGGAAACGAGTCTTTACCAGAATATGACAAGCAAATAAATGTAACATAGCTTATAATTGCACCAACTGGCAGAGGGTCATTAACCATGGTCAAAGTGTTAAACCTAGGACCAACGAAAAAAACCTATCTAACAATGAGAGCGGGACTTTAAACCTTGATTTCATTACCCGTTAGATTCACTGACCACTAAGCAATGCTGCTATCCTCATAAGCAGACGTTCTTTTGGCCCATCATGCAATTCCCTCTAACATTCATGGGTGAAGGATCGCGTTGTGGGAGGCTACCATGCTGCCTCCTACTTTCGTTCAAGTTCTTTCATTCGTTTTTTTTCATTACCTTTTCAACGCACATATAACTTTACAACTGCTTCTGGCTACAAACAGTACCAGCCATTACGTATTACTGACAATACCATGAAAAAAAGCTGAAACTGCACTCCAGTCACCGTCACAAAATTCCGGGCGATTTCAATCCTGTTTTACCACCACACCAACTCACTAGATAATTGCCTTGTTATCGATAAATAAACTTTACCCTTAACATTACGACTTTGAACACTAAGGTTTACGTGCTGTCTTGTAGACGTTAATGAGTGCCAGAGAAAGACTAAAAGGTGTGGCAGCAATGGAAAGTGTGTGAACACTATAGGCTCGTACTTTTGTCTCTGTAAACACGGGTATGCAGCCAAAGGCTTAAAGTGCCAAGGTAATACTTGACTCATGTTGCATAGATCACCTAAAGGGCCAAGTTGAACGCGACATGCACAACTACTGCCAAAAGGGAACATACGCTATTTAGGCCATAATTTATTTATTGCGTTCGACGAAGGAGAACGCTTACTTTTCGAATCCTGCGGGAGATCCCGCGGGTATTCCCGGACATCATCGTTCTTTCTCCTTTTCTTCTAGTTTTATGTAAATGTTTACGTCAGTTAATTGCACGTGGCAGTAACCAAATCGAAGGCCTAAGCTACACTGGACATTGCCCATATTTTATCTTTCACCATTTAATGTAATTTGTTTTCCCTTTTTTCTGTTTTTATAATATATTGTAATGTATATCTAGTAAAATCCAGCAATAGTGCAGAAAATAGAACA